TTTTTAATCGAAAATGATATGATTAATAACAGTTTTAATTTTGACATATAAATATATAAATGAATTTTTTATTTAATAAGAATATTTTAGTCTATTTATTATCAAATATAATATTTTAATTATTAAAATATTTTAATATTTTAATTATTTAAAAATATTAAACAATTATTAAAAAGTTATGATATTTAAAATGCAAAAAAATTAAATCACTTTTCTCAAACTAAAAACAAGGAAAAAAAAAAGTAATAAACACGAAAATGAACGGTCAGCAAGTCAGCCTCGTGATGCAAAATAGGGTAAATACTACTTAAGTATAATTCTGTGACGCCAATATCTTTGGCTATTTTGGAAAGTGCCCCCAACCTTTATTTCCTTTCAATTGTATCCCACATCTCTAATTTTATTTTTATTATTATTATTATTATTACTTGGTTAGGCCATTAAGAAAGGTACTTCCCATTACATCTCTAATAAGAAGGTACCAAATCCAAGTGAGTGCGTCTCCAAGCTTGTTGTTGTTATTGGGTAAACAAGAGTAGAATTCACCACAAAATTTCCTAACACAAAAAAATTACTTATGGTATGAAACTATAGGTAAAAACTCCAATTTAGATCCTAAGAAACATTACATGTTCTAGCTTCACAAGTAGTGGTGTTGGTTCATACAAAAAGACACATAACACACTTAGACTTAACGATCATCTAGAAATAGTTAATTAATTTTAGGCCTCACTTCACTACTAGTATTAACTCAAACTAAAGAGAATATTCTAAGTCTATTATGCCACATGACAATTAGAATTAACTTCATTTAAAAAAAAAAAAAGAGAGAGAAAGAGAAAGAGTCAATTGCATTGAACTTGAAGCCAACATGGTTGCATGTGTGTATCATACAATTCCAAATGTGTTCCTAATTGTCTTAATTGGACTTGGGCCATTTTACTATTGAACTCAAGGCAAGTTCAATAAATCTTGATTTTTCACCATCTTGTCACTTGAAGCTAACTTGAGTATTGTAAAGAGAACTTTGGAAATCCCTTAAAGGCCCTTCTAACTTCTATTTATAGATGTTAAGTTCAAAATAGAAGGAGATAGTAAAGTAACCTAAAGTTATACCATTGATAAGGAATCCATTGCAAACTCTTATCTAACTACATGTATAAAGATACTTAAGCAAGGCCATCCATTTGCCAATGTTAACAGCACATCCCTACACCCAAGTGTCTAATGAATTTTATAATAACAACAATTAATAATATATATTGTATTATCACATGGTAATATGGTAATTAATCGTTATTATCATCAATAAAATACTTTCAGAATTTAAACATTTTCAAGAAAAAGATGCTAATTGAGTAAGAGGGTGACAAGAGTAGAATTGAATAAAATCAAATATATTGGTGTACTTAAACTTATAACTTTGTTGATAATCTATACATTCTCTTATCCCCAAGAGATAAGAGAATAACAAAAACAAAGAGGCTTGGCGTACAATTGAAAGGAAATAAAAGCTTAAGGCATTTGTATACACGGCCTTAAAGTTTTGGGCATTGAAATGTAAAATTGTATTTTCTCAAGCATAGAACGTTGAACCCCCAAACGAGTCGGCCCCCACGCTTTCCCTCCCTTGGTCGTCACTAGTCACTACACCTTTTCTTGCTTCATCTACAGAAGTAAAAAAGGAAATCCGACTCAGAGCTACAAAGTGCAAACCCTATTCCTCCGTCACAATGCACGCAAAAACCGACTCGGAGGGAACGAGTCTCGACTCCTCGTGGCCGCCACGATCGCCTAGACGGCCGGTCTACTACGTGCAGAGCCCGTCAAACCACGATGTCGAAAAAATGTCATACGGGTCGAGCCCGACAGGTTCCCCACCGCACCACTACTACCACTGCTCACCCATTCATCATTCCCGGGAATCCTCCACCTCGAGGTTCTCGGCGTCACTCAAGAACCCTAGGAACCTCTCTGCCTGGAAGCACGTCCAGCTGGGTCACGAACGAGATGATGACGACAGCGACGAAATGGACGGTCGTCATGACGGTGGTGCCAAATTCAGGCTGTATGTTTGCCTTGTTCTGATGTTTGTTCTTTTGTTCATGATCTTCTGTTTGATTCTCTACGGTACCGGTAGAGCTTACCAGCCTGAAATCTCAGTCAAGGTAACAACTTTCATTCCTTCTGCCCAAAAAAAGTTTATTCTTTCTTAAGCTGACTCAGTGTTCCCCGAGTCAACTCGTTACTCGGTCTATTGCATTTATCAATTTCTTTCCTTTTTTTACTTTGGTATTTTAATTTACAAAATTCTTTCTTGAGTGTCTGAAATACATCCATTTTTTCCAAGCATTTTCTAATTAATTATTATATTGTTTTCCGCACTGAGTCGACTCAGTGAGTGACCGAGTCAACCAGTTTCGTCGTGAACGGGACGTTTTGCTACCTTTGCAGAGACCTAGGGGCTATCACTGTGAAAGTGGGCGCCATTTTGATTGCTTAATTCTCAGTTTTAGTCTTTCAATAACACGATTAAATTTAATTGCAACGAACCAAACATGCCCTAAAATAATGTCTCTTCGTGTGTGGGCAGAACATGGTTTTCGAGAGCTTCTTCGTGCAGGCCGGCAATGATCAATCAGGTGTGCCAACAGATATGCTGTCTTTGAATTCAACGGTCAAGATTTCATTCAAAAACCCAGCCACCTTCTTTGCCGTCCACGTAACCTCCACTCCATGGGAACTCAGCTATTTCCAGCTCAAGTTAGCCTCTGGACAGGTACTAAAACTCTCTTTTACCCATGCTCTTAACATTAATCAGTAATATATGGTAGGGTAAAATTGTCATTTCCAGTGGGGTGTTCAAAATATTAGCAACCTTGAGAGTTGGGAAGAGTTTTGAATGCAATTGGGTGTCCCTGAAAAAGTCTGCACAAGGACTGCATCGATAACTTTTAATGTAATCTCAGTTGGGTCCCATTTGCTTTTGTTTATTTCTCCAACGGCTGTTGGAACCTTACCAATGTGCCCAGGAACAGGGCATTGGCTTCTTTCTCTGCCTACCCAAAATTGGCTAAAGGTTCAAAGCTTGGCAGGACCATCCTGTTCTAAAATAATTATATTTTTGCTTTTAGTTTCTACTGCACTAAAAAATATGAATTATGGATGAAAGGACAGCTCCTAATATTTAAAAAAAGTCTCTCGTCTAATAATTTATATTGGATAATTTAATATAGTTTAGATTATATAATATATTTTTTTTTATATCAGAACCAAACCATTTTGACTCCAAATTAAGGTTTTCACTTTTTTAATTTATATTATCAACTTGGCTATCTGTGTTCTTGTTCCCCATCATTAAAATGTCTAGTTTCTTACAATATATGATTGTGTCTCCCCATTATTGAGATGTCTAGTTTCTTACAACATGATTGTGTCTGGAGATTAATTTCTGATTTTTTTTTTCTTGTTAATTACAGTAAATTAATGTACCAAAATATGTGGTGGGTTTATAATTTTGTTGCAATTAATGGTAGATGAAGAAGTTTACACAATCAAGAAAGAGTAAGAGAACGATTGTAAGAGTGGTGCAAGGGCATCAAATACCATTGTATGGGGGGATACCAGTTCTTTTGAATGCCATGCAGCACCTGAATAGTGTATCAGTGCCATTGAACCTGACTTTCACAATGAGGTCCAGAGCTTACATTTTGGGCAAACTGGTGAAGACCAAATTCTATAAGAGAATCAGATGTTCTGTTGTTCTGAGAGGCAACAAGCTCGGAAAGGCACATGATCTGACAAATTCATGCAGTTATCAGTGAGAATACTGGTTAGACATATCTATCGGCAATTTGGCAACTTAAAACTTCATTTACTAAACTTCTTGACATGCAAAAAACTCTCACTGCTCTTGGATGTTTCAAAATTGAGGATAGATTCTTGCTTTCTGCTTTCTGCTTTCTGTTTTTTGTTTGCTATGTAAATTCTACAGTTGTATTTCTAACTTTTTTTGGAAGAAATCGGGGAATTTTTTAGTGCAATTGCAGTCTTTGAATGTGGTAGGTGGATGAAAGGGTAAACAATTCGCGATTGTTTGATCAGGACAAAAGCAAAGTACATTGCAGTGATAGACATCAGAAAGGGCAATGCTTGATACAAAGGCAGAAAGAAATGACCAAATCCAGGTTCTTACAAGCACGTGGAACACTATAAAGAACATAAAAACTAAACTATAATATTACAGGGTTGTTGCGCTTTTCATTGCCCGTCTCGTTGCATCTCAAACTTCAACAGTCATTAGTTTTATCATCTTCGATTTTTTTTTTTATTATCCTCTATTCGGTAATCACATTAGATATCTATTAATCCAGAATCGAATTGCGTCGGATTCTATTAGGAGAAGTTCTTAGCATCTGTTTCTCTATTTATAATATTCGAATTCAAGACTTGAACTTAATATTTTGCTTAAGGAGAATCGAGTTTCTTTCGCTTGAAGTAATAAGTCGTTGCTATCATTTTCTTCTTCTCTTCTTCTTTTTCAATTTTCTGGCATCCAGGCATCTTGTCCTTGATCCTGTCCAGGATTCGCTTCTCCTTTGGCTCGTTATCGGGGTGGTGTCCTTCTGCATTCTTATGGTGGCCAGGAAGTTTCTCTTAGATCATATCTGAAATGCTTTTCTTTGGATTTTCAGGTGGGACGGTGGTGGATTCATTCTGGATGTTATCGAACTATTAGAATTTTTTACCCGAATTTTTAAATTTTGGTTTGTATAATTAATTTTAGTTTAAATATAGTTATTGACCAATATCTGAAATTATCATTATAAACCACCAAATTATTAGAAATTATTCGATTTTAATATAAATTTATTTTATTTTTTATTTTAGTTTTTGTGTTTTGTAAAATTTTTTTTAGACAAATTTTAAGTCAAATTTATATTTAAGAATATAAAGCAAAAGATTAGAAATAATTAAAATTGAAAAATAAAAGCTTTTAATGACAAAAAGTGAAAAAAAATATATTTCTATTATTTTGATTAATTAACTAAATTATCTGAATAATTTTAGATAATTAA